ACGCGGAAAATTAGGGTTGGGACCGAAATTTTCGCGAATTTTTTTTTCGTTCCCCTTGTTTGAGAAATTCCGAAAACAGGTTTAGGCTTTTAAAAATCGGATTTTGACGGTGGAAATTCCCAAAAATTTGCGTTTTTTGAAAATTCGAGCGTTTTTTCTTCTGAAATTGTCCGAATTTTTTTTTTAGCACACTAAGCCGTATCTGACCCTCAAACTGCAACTTCCGGGTAGTTCACTCATTAACGGTGAACTCCCGGACTCAAGTGATCTCAAAGAGACCTAATCATAACACCATTCAAATTCGTTATTATCATGATTGCAATGATTGGTTATTGATTTATCTTTTTGCAAATATTGATTATTGGTTATCTTTTGGATTATCATTAAGAATTATTATTTCGTGATTTATCATTAATTAATATTACTGATTAAATCGTTATTAAATTCTTATTACGAATTTTGGAGTGATTTACGGGACATTTATTTTTCTGTTTGATTAGGTGTCTACAGTCCATCAGTGGGACAGGGGATTGTATGTATACTGCTTGATTGTTCTACCCCTGTTCCCACTCTCCGTACCCCCCTGTATTCTGTGAACACCGGCACCTCTCAAGTACCGCATCAGTTCAGACTGATGTCGATGGAACAGGACACCGGGGCACTGCCACGGCGCAGTGCCAGGATCGCAGTTCGTGCCCGCCCTGCGGTACCTCCAAGACCCAAGAGATTCAGCAGACGGATGACTCCAGCGGCATCAAGTACGACATTGACAGTACAAGACACCACCGGAGATCTTCCCGCATGCCCGGTCCGAGAGGCCAGCGAGCCTTTGGCTGACTATCGTGGGCGGCTACAGGCATTTACAGACGCCGTAGCCGCCGCCGAGGCTCAGCAGGCTGCAGCAGAGGCAGAACGTCAGCGGCTGGCCAATGAGGCGGCAGCCGAAGCTCAGCGGACAGCTGAGACTAACGAAGCGGCACGAAACAGACGGAATGCCGCCAGCACGGAGTCCCTGATTGCTAGTGAGTATCAGTGGACAACGATACTCCAAGGCATGATCTTTGTGCCTACGGAAACGCAGGCGGAGCGGACACAGGCGGAGGCAAAGGGAAGTAACCTGGCTACCGTGATGTTGAACGTAATGAGGGGAGTAATGTGGAACAACAAACTACTGCAGGCACACCTGCACGGGGAACGACAGCAAAGACAGCAGTACCAGCAAGACCTGGCCGCTGTAACGGCCGGCGTCCGCGACGCAGCAATGCAGCAGCAGCAACAATAACAGCTGATGAACTCTACCATCGCACGCATCAACGGCATTGAGGCCAAGGCCTCAGCACCGCCAGGCTGCACGACGGACGCGACGAAGCAAATCAACGAACGCATCGATCACGTCGTCACCATCATCGGCGACATAGGTGTTTTCAACGGACCGGACACGATCAGCAGCACGGTGGCCGCCATCAAGACGGACATCACCAAGCTACAGACGAGACCGGACGCCGCTACAAAGACGTTCAAGATGCCGCACTTCGACATCTGCAAGTTCGACGACTACAACAAGTCGGACGCTTTGACATGGTGGCAACGTTTCCTCACGGAAGCGTCATGCCGCACTGTCCCGGCGAACGACATGTTGAAGGCACTCTATTTGCAACTGATTGGAGGAGCGCAGGCATGGATGAACCACCTGGCGGCCACCCACAAGTGCACCATCGCCGAACTCCACATGCACATCACATGGAAGGAGTTCGAGCAGCTATGGTTCACCCGGTTCATGGTCCGCAACGTCGTGAAGGCGGCCATGAATGAGGTGTACACATGCTCTCAGGGGAACATGCCAACTCGAGACTGGACAACGAAGTGGCAAAAGATCGTGACCACACCAGGCTTCGACTTGACGTTTCCAAATCAACGATCCGAGTTCTTCTCGCGATCATGCGCGGGATTGCGGTCGACACTCGGTAATGAGTACGACTATACCACATTCCAGGCCATTCTGGATCGAGCRAACTTGGTCATCCAAACGGACGACAAGGCCGCTAACGAGAGACAATCCCAGCCGCACTATGTGGCTAAGCAGGCCTATCAACGTCCGACACATAACAATGCCGTGATTTCCGAAGAAACAGACGATCTCCACGCTGCAGCAGCATCCTCGAGTGATCGAGGAAATTGTAGCAGCGCTCCCGCCGAAGCGTCCCAAGAGAGTTCGGAAGAACAAGGCGACACAAGAGACAGCATCGATGGGAACTGGGCAGCAGCCATGGACGRCYTACAAGATAACCAAGGATGTCTATGACCTTCGTMAAAAGTACGGATACTGCCTCTGGTGCAACGGCGTCACTCATGTGACCGCACAATGCCCCGAAAAGGGCAAGGCACGCGTACCCCGTCCAGCAAACTCGGGAAACTGAGCTACGCAAGGAGAGGGGCGACGTCTCTCCTCACTCCGCCGGACCCACTTGCCTTGCTAGCAATCGATGTCACTACCAGGGAGCATGCGTTAGTCGCTGATTCTCGTGCCACGTACGAGGATTATGCCGCCCAGCTGGTACCACCATTAGACCAGCCAAGCCACGTGCACTTACCTAGCGTATGCGCAGCCTGTACACCGTCGGCAAGTGATCCGGTCAGTTCGCCACTGATTTCCGAGGAGTCGACGGCGTGGTCAAGACTTGAGGAGCTTGACCCGCTCACGAGAGAGGACGTCGCTTGGATGCCTCTACCCTCGACCGGAACCTTGCCAAGGCCGCATTGCAACGCCTTGATGGCAACTCTACGCTCCTATTTGCACACTACAGTACCAGCTCCGTTGACGGACGACGGGGTAGCGGTTGYCGATCTCCGCTCCTATCTTGCGAAGATTGACGGCGAGCACGCCACCCAAAGGTACGCCGAAACCGACGCACCTTTGCTCTATATCCGCATTCAAATCGGAAAGGCAACCTGTAGTGCCTTGATTGATTGCGGAGCGTCTCGCAACTTCATGAGTCAAGCCTTTATGGCCCGCGCGTTCGAAGGAAGACGCAACCTACGCAAGTTACACTTGCGGACGGCCGCACGCAAAAGTCAATTGAACGATGCGTTGACGGCGTTCCAGTCTACTTTGCGCCACTTGCGTGCGAGCAGGTGTCTTTTGACATCCTCGACACCAAGTTCGACATGATTCTAGGCATGTCTTGGTTGCGTAGCGCCGATCATCCGGTGAACTTCCATGACCGAACCGTTCACATCCGTGATCGGAACGGAGTGTTAGTCCCATGTACGATCGCGACCCCTCACACTTCGATTGCTTGTTACGTGGTTTCCGTTGCGCGGATTCGCGACGCCATTGCTCGGAATGACGTAGAGGAGATGGGCCTTGTATTCTTGCATGCTCTCCCCTCGCCGGACGGACCAGCCGCGTCACCGCCGGACCCACGCATTTCTCACCTCTTGGACGAGTATAGAGACGTCTTCGAGGCTCCCACCGGAACGGTTTCGGATCGGCCCATACGTCACGGGATCACTCTCGAGGCTGGCGCCGCCCCTCCGTGTGGATGTATCTACTGCATGAGCGAAGAGGAACTCGAGGTGCTTCGCGCACAACTCGATGATCTTCTCGACAAGGGCTGGATTCGCCCTAGTTGCTCGCCATACGGTGCACCTGTTCTCTTCGTCCGGAAGAAGAACAAAGACCTACGGTTATGCATCGACTATCGAAAACTTAACGCACAAACCGTAAAGAACGCCGGCCCTCTCCCTCGGATTGATGATCTCCTTGAGCAGTTAGGCGGCGCGACGTACTTCTCGAAGTTGGACTTGAAGTCAGGTTACCACCTGATTGAAATCCAGCCTCAAGATCGGTACAAGACCGCGTTCAAGACACGGTACGGGCATTTTGAGTGGGTCGTCATGCCATTTGGACTCACCAATGCCCCCGCAACGTTTCAAGCAGCGATGACGACTGAGTTTCGCGACTTGCTCGATCGCACCGTCCTCATCTACCTTGATGATATCTTGGTTTATAGTAGGACGTTGGACGAACACATTGTACACCTTCGTGTTGTTCTGAATCGTTTGTGACTAGCCAAGTACAAAGCGAATCTCGACAAGTGCGAATTCGCCAAGCAAGAGCTTGAGTACTTGGGTCATTTTGTCACGCCGAAAGGCATTAGTCCCTTAGCGGACAAGATCCAAGCCATTGTGGATTGGCCGGAACCCCGTTGCTCGACGGATGTACGCTCTTTCATGGGGTTGGCTGGATATTATCAGCGATTCGTCGAGTCATACTCGAAAGTGGCCGCTCCTTTGTCGAGACTTCAGTCCCCGAAGGTGCCCTTCGAGTTCGACGACGCAGCCCGTGGCGCGTTCACTACGTTGAAGGCAGCCATCCAAGCCGCACCTGCCCTCAGTATATACGACCCCACCCTACCCACCCAAGTGACTACGGACGCTTCGGGATACGGTATTGGTGCGGTGTTGGAACAGTGTCTCGAGGACGGTTGGCATCCGGTTGAGTATTTCTCCCAAAAGGTGCCTCTCGTCAACACTCTCGACGACGCGAGGAGAAATTGGCTGGTGCTTCCCTTTCCCTCTGCAAGTTTCTCCTCTCTCTGGCTTCTCTTTGCAGTGTCCTTTCCTCTTCTGGCTCTAACACCAGAAAAGTGGTCAGCCGACTGAGTGCAAGTCTACGGGTAAGTCTCCTATCATCCTGGTCTAGTCTCTCAACCTTCAAGTTGTTGTCTTCTCCAATCATGAGCTACACGTGGCATGCAGTCATCACTATTGTCCTCGCTGGGACCTACTGCAGCATGGCACCGAACCGATTTATAGGATAATATAAAATAAAATGATTATTTGGTCCAGCTTTGTCAGGAAGTTGTCCAGCGGCAACAGCAAATAATCTCAGACTCCTACAAACAATTCTCTTCCTATCTTGACTAGGCTAAAACAGATAGATCTGCAGTAAAGAATAATCAACTGCTCTATGCAGATTGTGGTTAAACATGCCTTCGGGGTTTCTTATAAATAGCATTAAAAAAACGCTGAAATTTTGGGTCTCCATTAGCCACCACTCGCTGGGGACGAGTATGTGGGGAGATATTAGGGGATTGGCAGGGGAGGAAGCACCACATCGTGGGACACCTATAGGGGTAAGACTCCGTATGAGCATCTTGAGGGGTAAGGAAAGGGAGGCGAGCATCGACTCAATGTACCTCGTGACGTCATCAAGGACGTCGGGCCAGTGAAAACGCTGGCGGAGGCGTGCTAGTGTGCGGTTCACGCCAAGGTGTGCCGAAAGTCGTGCGTTGTGGAATTCGCCGAGAAGACGAGTCCGTAAGATGCGATCTTGGGGCACTACTAACAAGTCCTTTCCTCTCGAGTGAAGGACAAGAAACCCGTCGGAAATCCGATAGTGGGTAGCCGACGGGTGATCCGATGAAAGCTCTGCGTAAAGCGTAGAGTAAGTCCGATCGGACTTGTAGCCTTTGACGAAATGCGGCTGCAGATCGTCATCGAGGTCGAATGCTGTGGTCACAATGGCGAAAAGTCGGGCCGTCGTGAGAGGCCGTCCGCAGCTCGATTGGCGGGACCGGGAATGTGACGCGGGTCAAAATCGAACTGGTCGATGTAATACATCCATCGACCGATCGTGCTAGTGACCGTGTCTTGTGTTTTATAAAAGGTCAACGGATTGTTGTCCGTATTCCATTTGAACCGCCGACGGCCGAGAAGAAAGTGGCGCCACCGTTTGAGAACGGTGACGGAGCGAGCGCACTAGACTGCTCAGATGATGTTGCGTACGCTCATCCGTCCCGACCAGAAAGATTGGGTTGACCGGCTTCCCGACATCGAGTTCGCCTACAACACTTCGGTGCACCCGGCGATCTGCGTCACACCATTCGAGCTACATCATGGTGGAGAGAAAGCACGGATCTTCGCTGATCTCCTTTTGCCACAGGCTGCCGACATAGACGTCCCTTGCTCTCCCGCTTCCGTTCGGAAGTACCAGAACTTGCTGATCAAAGCCCGCGCAAATATGCAAAAGGCTCAGATCCGCATGCAGCAGCAGGCTAACCGACGTCGACTTCCATGTCCTTTCCGCGAGGGAGACCTTGTTTGGGTCCTCTCCGAGGAATTTGCGCTCGAGGAGGACGTTTCGCGCAAACTCCTTCCGAAATGGTTCGGACCATGGGAAGTCACTTCTGCCGTTGGAGACGACCTCGCAGGTCCTTCCTTCGTGATCAACATTCCACCACACCTAACAGTGCATCGGGTCTTCCACGGCTGGCCATCTACACGCCACCTTCAGCTGACGAGTTCCCCGGACGTCGATCACAGGATCCGCCTTCTATGGACGGACATCAGGAAGTKGACCGAGTCATCACGCACCGCAARTATGGYAACAAGCCAAGGCAGTACAAAGTCACATTCAAGCAATGTGCGCCTGATGACACTCGGTGGATCTCCAGTACAGATTTGCAGACTTCTGCACCCCTCATCTTCGCCGACTACGAGAAGCGACGCCTTGCTAAGGACGCAGCTCGTCCCGCCCGACCCACACCGGTATCGGACAGACAACTTCGCCCTTGCAGGTAGCTCGGTCTTTTAAGAGGGGGAGTGTGTTACATCTTCGACGCACACGGGTCCTACCGGACCTGACTTAGGGCCGGAGGGACACATCAGGGCCTAAAGGCCCGACCTTGGGGTATTACAGGCCCTCAGGGCCTGATCTTGGACCAGTACCCGACGGGCAGGCCCAAACGGCATTATCGTTTGGGCCTGGCGGCGCTCTTGAGGCTGCCGCCCGCCGGTTGGGGCTGAACCGTCCATCTGGACGGTTCAGGGCATGGCCAGGCCTCGCAGCATGAGGCCGGCCTCTGCCCCAYTGGTATAAAGTACCGGTACAGCCTCACTTGGAGGGATCGACCTACCGGCACTATACCGGTACGGTATGGTCAGCGCCAGAGCGCTGTTTTGATGCGCTAAGTTTAGCGCAGGAGTGAGCAAGGAGCAGCAGCGGCAGCGCAGCATTAGCGCAGCGGCAAGCGGAGCAGCAGCAGGGCGACTGAGCGAGCAAGGAGCAGCAGCGGCAGCGCAGCATTAGCGCAGCGGCAAGCGGAGCAGCAGCAGGGCGACTGAGCCAGCACGGCGGCCATTGCCGCCTGAGGTACCTGGGAGCGGAGGACCTCTCCTCCCTCCCTCGTCAGCTCTCTCTCTCTCTCTCCCTCTCTCCTCCTCCTCCTTCTTCTTCTTCTTCTTCTTCTTCTTCTTCTTCTTCAGACTAGAGACTTATACTAGTTGGACAGAGATCAGAGTTGGACTTCGGTGATATGAGACTGTGGTACTTACCTGATTGGAGACTTGGAGATTGTTGAGGTTGATACTCGGCTGCATCACAGTTGGACACCGGTTACATTTGGACTCTGTATCTCCGACATGGATGACCTATGGGCCTCGACATTTTGATCTTGTTGTATGACATTTGGACTACCATATCGGAGACCTATCAGACTCTATCTATCGGTGTTGTCTACCTCCCCACCTCCTTCGTCTCTCCTCCCACCCTTCATTTGTGAATGCGTGTACGGGATCTGGGCATCGTCTATGAATGGCCCAGACCCGACCATCTCATGATTGTATGTGTGTGGAGTGATGCTATGTGAGTCAGTCTATGTGAGTCAGTCCGTTTATCAGACTTCCGCTGCATATATGCTCATCCTACATTGGTTGATCTTTGGTTCTGCCCATACTCATTGAAGTATGCAACAAAAGAACATCCATGTACAGCATCTTGTCATCCATCGTGGGCCGCTCTCCTCGTCTTCTCCCAGCATGGCTGTTCACAATCCTACCACCACCAATTCGACACTTCTCCCATAAAATTTCCACATGGAGAATCTTGCAGCCCTGATTCTTGTCATCCATCGTTGACCTCTCTCCTCCTCTTCTCCCAGGATGGCTGTTCACAATCCTATGACCACCAATTTGACAATTTTCCCATAAAATTTCCACATGGAGAATCTTGCAGCCCTGATTGGTGTTCCCTGTCCTCCCCAACTTGTTGCATGTAATGCATCTTGGAATCCCCATTTGACTGCTTCTCCGGGCGCTGTGCATGTTCGTTTTGCATGGCAGAAGTCAATTCCCTCCTTTTCATTTTGAAATTGCATGTCATAATTGCGGGCGAGGACAATAATGATCGATGACAGTCCTGTCTGGGTAATGTCGCGAAATAGTTTCCTGCATTTTATTCCGGCTTTCTGTGGACTTGAAGATGAGAACCCGACCAGGAGTTATTGATAGAGTAATGAATTATTATTAATTCTGCTCTGATGTGTCCACCTGTTTTATTCAGGATGAAGGCATGCGTGGAAGTGGACGAGGGGCACGATCAAGGCCCGACATCTTGCAAAAATACATAATGCAATTGAAGGCACAGAACAGGGAGCGTCATCAGCAAGCCGAGCTGAGGCGGTTAAGTCAGGCTCAACTGGCTCAACATCAAGACTTGCATTCTAGTAACCCTTCAGACCTCCAGCTTCGCGAGAAGGTAAGGCAGCTAAGGCTTGACCCATGCTTTCATGAGATAAAAAAATATTCACTATGCATGAGGAAAAAGAAAAAGAAGCTCTGCAATAAGGTAAGGCTAGACCCATTCCTATATCAGAGAAAACGAATCTAAGAGAAAAACATGAAAAACCGTACTTTGAGTTGTGAAGGTGCACATGCATTGCCAAGTTAGGTAACATGGTAAATGTCAGCAAAATAAAATGCGACTCTGCAACCCCACTCACGGCAAGGGCCAGTAGGCCCTAAGCTCGGGCCTACAAAGAAAATGGCCCAGCCGATTTTGGGGAAAGCCCGGTGAGGCCGGGCCAGGGTATTGCCGAGGTAGGTGGGATCCCGATAGGCTGCGGCAGCTTCCGAAAGCTACTAGAAGGCAGGGCCTTATGGCCAGTCCAGATCCCCTCCTCTTCGAGCAGCCAACACGCATTGTGGCTAGGCAGTGCCAGGAGGTTACATCTCCAAGGCGAGGCAGCAGCCAGCACCAGCCAGCCAGCATAGCCGGGAGAGAAGGCAGTGATGGCGCCAGCTGGGCGCCTGTGTGTGTGTGTGTGTGTGTGTGTGTGTGTGTGTGTGTGTGTGTGTGAGAGAGAGAGAGAGAGAGAGAGAGAGAGAGAGTTGACAAGGGACTGCAAATAATGGTTCCAGTGTGGTTGTTCAGGCATTGGTTGGAGCAGCATTCTAGTGTATGCTAGTTTAGTTAATAGAGAAGGTGAGCGTGGCAGAGAGATCAGCGAGAGCAAAGAACTGCCTAGTCTTACCGTTTTGATTGGTGGGAGGTGAGAAGCGGGCTTTTCATCATCAAGAGACTTTGACTTCGTCGATTTTTGTGCCGGTGTGATCGTTGCTCTGTCATTCCTGTTAATTGCCTGGTCGCCATATGCCTTATGGCCAGGAGAGTTCGTTATGCTTCTGAATTTGAGTTTCTCCAGTGTGGTCTCCTTCCAAATTGGTTCCAAAGCGGTTCCCTTTTGGGCGCTCACCTGATGGTGAGATATGCTGTGCAGTGCTGCCGACTGTCAATGGGCAATGTGTGTGGGTATATTGCCAGTGCTCATCCGCTAGGAGGAGAGAGTGCGTGTCCTTTGGGGACATCTGTTAAAATTGGAACAATAGTTACAATACAGAGAAGATTAGCATGGCTTCTGTGCAAGGATGACACACAATATAAAAAAAAGGGAAAAAATTTGAAATGCCCCTCCGATTTCCGTTTGTTTGCGGCACGCCCCTCCAACGGCCGACTTACCGTGTCATGCACCTGGGGCCACTCTGAAGTTTCCCGCAGACCCCTGTCAGTGAGGTGTGAAACTTCCCAGCGTGCCCCTGTGGCCGTTGGTGGCACTTGCGGCCGTTCCCCTGGCCCTGGGAAAGGAGCTACCCTGGCATACTGGAAATTTGGACCGGTACTGGTAGGGGCATATTGAATATATTTTAGGCCCAAACGACGACAGGGGTTTTTCGGAAACTTCACTCGTTGTCAGAGGGGCGTGACAGGGTAAGTTGGCCATCAGAGGTGTAATGAACCCAGTCTGACAGAAACCCAGAAGTTGTCAAATACCTGTAGAGTCAGTATCTGCAACAAAGTCTCCAACTCGTGAAGAAATATATCAAACAATAACTCGTTATCATCAATAGAATAGTTTGGAGGGGGGAACAGACAAAGGAGAGGATGAAGATTCACACAATAATCCCTGCTGAACCCTCTCCTTCTCCGGGCTTCTCCCCTCTCCACATCAACAATGATGATAAGTATATTCCTGATCACACACAGAAGTGCCACGTGGCACTCAATCTCATGAAGACTATGAAGACATTGCAGATTCCAGTATCGACTTCAAACGCAGGTGAGTACCCGTACTTCTTCAGCCACAGATCCCGATCTCCCTCCTTCCTCACAACCAGTCACCTCATGTAGACAGCGTGGACAATGCCACGTCAACAATCGAAACAGGTGGCATTCGCCACATCATCAATGTAGACCAATAGCAGCGCCACATATACAAAAGGCAGCGCCACATCAGCATGCCATGTAGACCAGAGGCAGCACCATGTATACCAGAGGCAGCGCCACATCAGCATGCCACGTAGACCAGAGGCAGCGCCACATATACCAAAGGCAGCGCCACATCAGCATGCCATGTAGACCAGAGGCAGCGCCATGTATACCAGAGGCAGCGCCACATCAGCATGCCGCGTAGACCAGAGGCAGCGCCACATCAGCATGCCACGTAGACCAAAGGCAGCGCCATGTCAGCATGGCCTGGCACACTGAAGAAACGCCAGCATGCTGCCTCCACCTCGTGCCGTCCTCCGCAACGCTGGTGCACAACCAGCATGAAGCTAGCGTCGTGTCAAAGTCGAGCCAGCGTCAAAGCAGCATATCAAGACTGAATGCTTGACTTCCGCGAGGCCAGCCTTAAGTAACAGATGTCGAGGCTGTCTGGCCTCGGGTTCTTTTCCCACAGTCGTCCAGATTGAATCACAGCTGAGGGCCCGGATTGTACAGTTGTGGACTTCTCCCTTGGACCTGATGCTGTCTGGGTACCTGCATACAAAGAAGTGTGTGTGCTTGACCTGCGGCCTGGGCTAGGTACCTTTGGACTTTGACTGTTGGAATTTCCGACAGTTGACTTTAGTCAACTGTGCCTCATCCAGGCCCTGAGTCTAGACTGGGGTCTTGTACCCCTGTTCGGCATGGGTCTCAGTTTCAACGAGGCTTACTACATGGGTTATTACAGAGGGGTATACCACAAATAAATGGAAGTCGGAGGGGCATTTCGAAACCCCCCCCCAAAAAAAAAGAGGAGAGAGCGTGTGAGTGGAAGGGTGAAGGAAGTGTGTGCCAAGTAGCGAGGGCAGCGAATGTTGAGCTCTGATAATGTGGTGGTACTGGTCAGCATTTCTCAGTTTTGTACACTGGCTTGCACAACTATTTTGACTGGGAATTAAATGCCATCATCAATTTTCCAGTCTGTGAGTTGTGTCGGCTGTGAGTCAGGAAGCAAGATAATTTCCCATAATCCTATCATACCTGTCCAATTTTCTTACTGTGAGAATGAAGTTCAATGGACGTTTTGCTTGAGTGTTTGTGTGACACAAGCTGTGTTCTCTTGAAGAGTCAACCCAATTCTCGCGGTTCTGGCTTGAGATGGGCAATCTTTGGGAAAGGACCGGATGATGAAATGGAGCACATGATGATGTGGGTGTCGTGCACGTGTGGATGCACTATTCACACTCAGCTTCAGCACGTGCTATATAGGTGTGCTACTGGTAAGGACACTCTGTCGTGTTGCAGCATTACATAAATTCTGGATGCTGTCGTCCAGCTGCGATGTTGAGTCATTCTTGAGTCGTCGTCCTTTTTGTTTTCTTTTAAGAAAAGAAATCAACTTCATCAATAAGACAGGAAAACGGGTCTAGTGTCGCTTGCATAGAGTACACACTCAACGCATCCCTTGGTTATGGTCGAAGGACCCTGAGACAGCAGCATTGATTACTCCCACCCCATGGGAGGGTGTGTCCTAGAAGGCTATGAAGGCGATGAAGAAGACGAAGAAGATGCGAAGAGGAAGAAGAAGATGATGCAAAGCAGAAAGAGAAGGAGAAGCAGACGAAGCAGATGCATCAGAAGAAGAAGAACAAAAGAAATGTACATCCTCTTGAACGATGGTGTTGGGGAAGGGCGGCCACGTGCGGCAGAGGACGAGGGGAACTAGATCAGCCCCTAGGGAAAGCTGACAAAGCCCTTTTGAATGCCCAGCATTGGGCGGGCATGACAAATCCGTGGTCTAAAGCAACATGTTGGTTGGTGATCCTCGTTGATCAACCGCCCAGAATCCATGAAAAACAAATTGGGACTCCCGTCTTGTTTTTCATGCAGAGTGTGTCGGCTGAGGCCAGTTGAGGGTCATTTGGTGTCCTGCCAGGCTGGTACAGGCCGCTTTTCGATTCTGCGCAGGCCTGTCAGGTGGGCGGTCCGGGCAATCCTGGTGGGTTATGGGTGGTTCTGCGCCCGGTTGGTAGTCCAGCTTGTAAAAAAAAAAAATCTGTGCTTTTTCTGCCAGAATTTGTTTGTCATCCAGGATTTGATTTTGTTGATGTCTCCCCCCCCAAAAAAAAGATCGACACTCACTCTATGTCCCTGACTTTTTTTTTCAGACTTTTTTGTAAAAAAATATGACCACGAAAAATTGCCGAAGTGGATGTACCATGTACTCGAAATTCATACTGAAGCTAATCTGCCTTCTTCCCCCCCCCCACTTCCCCCTGCCCCGGTAGGCTTCCCTCGTCGATGGCCAATGAATACACTGCCGTGACCTTTGAGATGTGTTGGGACCACTAGTGAGATAAAAGGAAAAATTAGAAAGAAAAATAAACCTGTCGCTCTTTATGAATGTGCTGTTGTTGCGGCCTTTACGAACTTCAGTGAACTTCGGTTTCTGATTTTTCTGTTCTTTCAAATGTTTGAGGATTGGGTTTTCCTGCACGGACTTGGTGAATGTAAGTTTTTGCTGGTACGGCTCTGGCGTAGCAATCCCTGTGAAGCGTTCTGCCAGTCATGTGCCAGCATGCATGTTTTTTTCTCCTGTTTTTTGTTTAGTTTCACACTATTCCTCTTCCTCTTTCTCTTCCTCTTCCTCTTCCTCTTCCTCTTCCTCTTCCCTCTTTTCTGGGCTTTATGAAGAGCATCGATTATGTCCCTGTGGTTATCAAGATAGCTTAGCAAGTATGTGTATACTAATGGTGATTGGCACTGACTGCTTGGGAATGCTCTGATAATGGAATTGTTGTGGTCTGCAAACCTGCGTTTCTTTGGGCTGCCGTATGTAGACGGATGCCATGCTGGCTAATTTACGCAAGCAGCAAGGGCCTTGGGGTCCTTCATTTGTGGATGGAAGCCTGCCGAGCAGGTCAACAATGATGTTCGGCGGCATGGCAGGCCAAATGTCATTGTTTCAGGACCTTATGATGGCGAGTGTGCAGAGGAATTGTGAGAAAGGGAACTTCATGCAACCAAATGGAAGAGGGGTTCCTGGCGCCACCAAGGAGGCCTTACACCAGCAGCATCAGTTAGAACCTGTGGTATCTTCAGCTATGAATTCACAATTGCCAACCCTTGGTATGGAACAAAGGCCGTGCGGGACAAGCTTTTCGGATATTGGGCGGCATTCAGGCATTGGTCATGCAGTTGGAGGCCTAGGGGGAGTGACAAGGCCATCGGCTGAACAGGCGGCTGTGTCCGCGCCAACCTCGGTCGACTTTGCTACCTCGTTGTGCCTTGGAGCTGGAGGACCAGCTTTGGGACGAGAAGTGAATGTGAGTGGAATGGCTACAGCCGGTCTTGCAAACGCGGGGGCCATGACCGATGTGTCAGGTGTGTCTGTGATGGATCTGCAGCAGCAAGAGCAGCAAAAGCAACAGCAGCAGGAAAATTTGAATGAGCAGCAGCTGCGAAGCCTTCAGCAACACATGTCCGTCTGCGGTCAAGGATCAGCCCTGGCCGTTCAGACTGACACATCATTGCCGATGCTGGGAGGGTCGACCCTCGCGTCAATACTGCTCTCAAAGGGAGTGTCGAGCATCAGGCCTATGAAATGTGCCGAGGAAACGTCAGCAGACCCTGGAATGCTTGCGGGACAACCATCTATGACCAACGGTGTGTCAAATGACAGACTGTGGGACCTTGATTCTGTGCGTGGGGAAGGCTATCCTTGTGGAACAAGGCCATTACCACAGGGGAAACTAGGAGTGGAGCCGGTGAGTATATATCTGACTGCTTAGGGCCAATTTCCTGTGGTGCTGTTTTCGCACAAAAAAGCTTGAACCTAGTCGTAAAGAGGCCCTGGTTTTTAGCACAGACATAGGACCACTGGGGTCGAGGTCTCTGTGCTAACTTCATGTCGTGCATCGAGTCTTTGTACCATGGCTACCGTGGACCCGGACACCGGACAGATCCGGACCCAGACAACCGGTCAGTCCGGATATGATCTGGACGTCCGGATTTCCGGATTGAAAAAAAAAAGAAAAAACTGGCAGGTCTCTTATGCATGTTGAATGCAGTTTCATCGTATAACCTTGACTTAAGGGGAAGTGTTCCAGGAAGACATAGCTGTTGGCATATATGACAAACATGAATGATCATTCCTTGACGTACACTGTGCTGGCACAGTCAACGCAAAGCACAAACTGCTGCAAGGGAAGAAAAAGTGAAGAAACAAAAAATAGAGCACTCCTCAGTATACTTGAATAAATGTACATATTAAATAAAGTTCAAGACTGTAGCAGTTCAGAATTTAAATTTCAAAGTTCGAAGTCCGAGTTCAAACTCTTCTCTCTCTCTCTCTCTCTCTCTCTCTCTCTCTCTCTCTCTCTCTCTCTCTCTCTCTCTCTCTCTCTCTCTCTTGCATGTGCGCACATGCGCTCACCAGTCCACAAAGGTAATGAGGGCTCTCTCTCCCTCTCCCTCTGTGTGTGTGTGTGTGTCGGTGCGGCAGGTGGGGGGCAAAGCACTCTGAAGTGCCTAGGTCCACATTTTTTTTCCTTTCATCACTGGGGAACCGCGCTCTGCCTCCAACAGTCTGCCCAGGATGCAAGTAGAAAAGGGGCCAGTCCGGCCACCCTGTACGGCCGATACCGGCCCCTAAAGTCATCAAAACATTTTTCGGGGGGCGCCCTGGACCTAAGGAACAGGTCTAAGGTGCCCCCCTTTTGTTCTGAATTTTGGGCTTTCGGCCCCTTCCGGACGGGCCTCCTACGGTCCGACGTCTAGACACCGGACAGCAGACCGTCTGGACGCCTGTCCGGATGGTAGCCATGCTTTGTACATTCCGAGACAAAGGCCCGAGGAGTAGTGTCTGATTGCTTTAACTTGTTTCTACTTTGTCCGGCGATGCCCAGGACCTTACCTGGGACCTTGCACGATCGGGCCATTGGGGCAGCCTGGGCGCCTGGCCTGGTATCCTCGGTTTTATGGCTTTTTACCACTTGTTTAGCTATGAATCTGTTGTACTATTCGCATCTCTCTTTCCTATGTGGTACATAAGCCTTGAGGTGTCCGCCAAACTTTGAGCATCGTGAAACTGCAAAATGGAATAACACATAGAACAGTGTGCTTCTGTGGCCTCAACGAAAAAAGGACTTCACAGTATACTTATGTGGGATCCTTTCGGGAAGGATATAACAGACCTCTCTTTCTTCCTGTTCTGTTTGTTTGATCTGGTATGGTGTCACTAGTGTGAGGGATTGGGTGTCACTAGTGTGAGGGATTGCCCTTTTCTCTGTTATCCTTCTTTTTTTTTTTTAATCATTTAGACCGTTTATTGATTTCTGTGTGTCATCCTTGCGCGCGGGCGATGTCATCCTCTTTCTGTGACATGCTTGGTGTTGAGTTTTGCATCTTAGTAATGACCGTTTCCCGTGAAAGAGATGGTGGCACCGTGGCATTATCATGCTCACATGCGATTTGACTCTTCGTCGCAGCTTGCATGCTTGCATGTTGGTATCAGCGTACCAGCCTCAGGATTGCCGGTTCCATCCATGCCGGCCCCGTCATTTGGAGCTAGTGATCTTTTTTGTTTTGCTAACAGTGTTACTGCTGCAGTATCGATTTCTCATCCAACGGCTTTGACCATGTTATAGCTCGATTGGAGTGGAAAGGGGGAGATCAATGTGCTGACATGTGACAAGCTGTTCGCTAAAGATAGTTCTCATTTGCAACAGTGGCTACTTGTCCTATACTATCTCTGATGCAAAATGCTGAGCTTCGAGAACCATTAAAAGAGACCGCATTGAAGAAGGTGTTCTCTTCAACTTTCACGGTACTGAAAACAAGCAACTTCAATCGAGGGAACAAATCTTGATTACACAAATCTGTACTGGAGTAGCTGTTAACATCAGCTTAATCAGGCCCCCTCCCCTCTCGCCTCCTCGCCCACACCAGTACTTGGCCCAGTTATTTTGTTTAAGCTGGGCCGTGTATAGGCCGCGACCTTCGGCAGTTGAAGCGGCCATGTCATCAACAGCCTTCCAAGCGGCTCGGACCCCCGAAAGTCGCAGGGCCCCTGGGCTGACCTGTGGCTGTGTAGTGGGGCAAGTACTGGTTGTTTAACCCAGCATTAGCCAAGCCAATGTGGCAGAACGATACACGCGTCATTGTTAGAAAACTGGCCGTGAAGTGGAATCCCGCTCGAATCGAACAGATACAAGACTACGAGGAGCTACCCTCTTAATTGAAAAAAAAACTCTCTTGACGTGGCATGTCTTCTGTTTGTCTGGCTGGCTGTCTTGTTTGGACCAGCTTGGAAGCAATGGGTTGATATCTGGCAGCGCCTCAGATTTAAATCGCCAGGTAAACCAGGACTTGGTATCAAAGGCAAGGCCTCAACAGGTCATAGATTCCATGGGAAGTGCAAGTGAGAGACAGGGCTGTCAACAGTTGTCCAAGCAATCAGCTGGAGGATCGCTTGCTCTTCCACTGCAGCAGTTTCCCATGCCAGTTTGTGGCTCACTGCGGAAGCGCCCTCGTCAAATAGGACCAAATGGCTATGGAAGTTCTGGGTGCACGCTGCCGGGTGGTGATGTGTCATCTGCAATGAGGATTGATACAGATGATGCTGCAGCGCTGTTTGGCAGCAGCAGTACTCTCGGAACATCAAGAGCGACCGTGTCCTCGATATCGAGTGGTGGTACAACCTCAGCAGGCTCTGGTATTTGTTCCTTGACTCAGAGTGGCGGTAGGGCAGCACGTCCATTTGAGGCACAAGCAACTCCAGTTCAAATGCCGGGATTGGGTCTTCCCTGTACACGCGTTCCTGAATCAGACCAATGCTTATCGCCGACCGTGCCTGGTGAGCCTGTTAATGCAATTAGCAAGAGTGACGGCAACTGTCCAGCAGCAGTCTCACCGCCGTCTGGTTGCCCACCATCCTCGAACGTCTGTCGCAATCGGAGTATCATCAAGCGATGCAAGCAAGAGACACGAAGCATACCGGCGCATGGCTCACTGGAGGGACTCTTGCAAGCTCTTGGCAGGAACAGCCCACCGCCTCTGGAGTCGGAGGACGAGGATTCTGATTATGGCATTGCAAATGGAGGGCAAAGCGAGCAGGAACGAAACATAATCATGGAAAGCAGCACTGGCGCAGCCAATCCATCAACTTTGGCTCCTTTGGTGCCTTCAAAAGAGGAGATGACAAATCTAGAGTCTGAGGTTGCAGCTGAGGACATCTTGATGAAGCTTCTTTTGGCTAGCTCTTCTGGCAGGGGTCTCAATGAATCAGGGGCGCAGAAGGAGATGGGTCGATGGAATACAGGACTGCCAAATATGCCGATCCCTGTTCCAATGCCCTTGCCTGCAGGGTCCACGGGCAAACCTGCTGATGTCGACACAACCATTCACAGGCCAATGAACCTAATTGTTCCAGAGAACCCTCTTCTGACATGTGTGCGTGCTGGCATAGGTATGAGAATGCCAACTAGTTTGGGTTCCCGTTCTACGGCAGCTCCATCGGCAAATGCCTCCTCTCTCGCGCCTCTCCTATCTTCTCCACGTGATTCTGGAAACACAGGTACTGGGACAGGGTACTGGGATCCTTGCCAGCTACATTTAGTGCAGACATTCATGAGCCCACCACCAATGTTTTCCTCAGGACTGGTGTTGGGTGGAAGTATGGGCGGGAACCTACCAAACAACACAGTGTCAAATGCCATCGGGAGCTCTGGGTTCGACACTTTCTCCTCTTTGTTGCGCATGATGGCTGAAGACACACTTCCTTCACTCTACGACCCTTCTGCTAATCCTCCTCCAAGCAACACGGACCCAGTGGCTTGTGGATGGAGGGCCAATTAAGCCATCACTACCTGCGAAAGTGACCTGCTGAGACTAGCAAAGCAAGGTACCATTCTGGTTTCTGGGTGTTCAGCAGGGGAAAATCCTGGCTCGTCGTTGTGAATATTTTCAGAAAAAGGAGACCCTCCCAGGCAGGCGTTATGTGTCCTGGAGCTCGGCTGCCGAGTGGGAAATTCTCAGCCTCCCAGAATTCAGGAGGCTTACACCTTCTACCTTCTAAGGGCGCGGACGAGTCTCTTAGAATTCAGGAGGCTGTGAGCAAACAGTCTGTGCTGGATGAATGATTTCACAGCCCTGTTAGTTTGTGTTGAATTTTCAGTGCAGCCAACTTGTAAGGGCGGGGGCCCGCCTTTCCCTAAAGCGGTGGTTATACGGATCTGCAACTGGTCTTGACTATGGCAGAAGCGGTGTATACCATGCAGATGCTGTTCGATATTCCTGGGTTACCGCAGATGCTTGTCGATTGGTGTACAGCAGTCTCAGCTGGTGGATGGATGACACACTGTGGCTCTCTGCAAAAGGTGGATGCTTTGTCACACATGACTACAGAAGCAGTAATGCTGAATGTGTACTTAACTGTACTCATGGAGGAAATGGCGGTCGCCCTTGATAAATGTTGCGGAGCGGGTCAGGGTCATGAAGGTGCCCCCAGTGCATCTTTTTCAGGTGGTGGTCATCTTTGTCTTTCCAAAAAGTCTCTTCTGATAAGACTGCTGTCAGGTCAGTTTGGCACCAGCGTCATTCTGGTTTGTCAGACCACGGATCTTCACGAGACGACCGCCCGCCCAGCCCTTTTTTGCCTTGAGACCCATTGTGTGTTTGCATTCTGGAATGACTGTTGCTGTAGCAGCAGTTGCGGCCATGCTGTCCGAAGCTACAGATTCTGAATAGGTTTGCGAAGAAGATGAGCTCCTTCAGTTGGGGAACTGGACAGAATCCACACATTGTCAAGCGGACGTCTGGTTGCGGTAGACTTCAGGTGAATGAGAAAGTGCTCGCCAGTGCCCCGCCAAGGCTACTGTGTGATGTCCATAACTGCCCACTACAGCTGGCCTGCGCTTGTATGTCCATCTTTTCAGCTGTCATGGTCATTCTTGCCTGTCCTTCAGCAGGCTGTGGACACACACTGAGTCGGTAAATAGGCTCAGTGGATCGTTCGTTCTTGCAAGCATGAAAATCACCTCAAGGATGTTCATGCCGGCTTACGTTTTCGATCCACACTTGCCCGCACGGAGGTTGTGGCCGAGTCTAGATAGATTGGAAGTTGCTGAATAGGGTAGGTTGGCTGTGTGCTGCACAAAGCTCAATCCATCTCAGGAAGACCCAGATTCTCGTGTGGTTGCGTGCAAAGGGGAGAAATCGTGGTTTGGTGGGAAGCTCGGGAAGGAAGGAGCAAAACCTTCTTGATGCAGCAAGTCAATGGTGAACGGGATAGGGTGCAAGTTTTTACGGACCCTTTTTCTCCGTGCTCCCTGATTAGTTCAGGTCTGTTCGCTGTGCGTTCTGAGATTCATTAGAGTGTTGAATTCTCAGGCGACCACGAGAGTACGCTCCTGACATACCATGGTGGCTTCATTGGCAAATGCTGGCGATTACTATGAAGAGAGCAGAACTCTTCTACTCATGAGTACAACTGCACTTATGGAACCGTCTCGCTGTCAGTAAGGGGTTAAGTGACATGTTCCTCTGGGACAGAGATTGCTGATTCTCTGTGGAGGTGGGACAGAGAGTGCTGATTCTCTGTGGAGGGGAAGAGCAGCGTGGCTGATGCCAGTCAGGCATAGGGGAAGAGAGTAAAGAGCATGTTTTGCTTGCCTCATTAGTGGGTTTGCTGGAGAAGTGGATTACGGCACGCTGGTTGTGGTGGATGGTGGACCGGCGGGGAACCATATGTGTTGGGAAAGGCCTATGCAAAGACCTTTCTGTCATGCCTGGCAGGGTGCCTTGCCTGGTGCTCTGCCATTTCCTTTTGTGACCCCTAACGCTTGCCAAGGCGCGAGGGAAAGTTCAATGTAAATTCCTGGATAATTTCTTTTCTTCAAGTACCTATCTCAGGCTATATCTTCATGTGTCCATCTGTTTGTCCATCTATCTACCCCTCTTATGGCTGTCTCTGGCTAAGTACTCGCATTCCTGACCGCCTACCCATTTACCATCATGCCTACCGGACCTTCTGCCTGCCGCCGAACCACTCATCTATGTACCCATACTTACCTTCCTCTGCACATTCCCACCTACCCACCTACCACCTTACCTACTATGCTAGCTAGTAGCTGTCAAGACTATCTACCACCCCTAGTACCCTAGGTACTGAACCTGCCCAACTACATACCCGCGCGGCACGCACCTACCTATCCGCATATCAATTTGTCTATGTATTCCCCTGTGAGTCTATATCTATCTGTTGTCCATCTGGAATCAGCTTGTATTATTTATATTTATATATATATAATGTTGATGGGTATCGATCGGTCAATCGGTGCCGATTATTCATTTCCAGGCTTCCAGCATCTTTGACTACCTATCTAACCTATTAGCTCTTAGCTCTATCTCTCTCCCTCTTTGTGACACGTATATCCATCAGTGTATATCAACTACCTGGTATCTAATCATCATATGATTTTCTCTTACCTTGCAATCATCCATCTACCCATCCATCTGTTCACATAGTCGGCTATATATCTATCTGTTTATCGGTCTGTTCTCATCCACTTAACCTTTCTATTCTTATTGGCGTCGGCGCCTCTGCCCACACTCTATTCACATGTATAAAGCCTACAGATCAAGTGATCGCTGGATCTTCGTATATCTATATCTTATCTTTTTGCCTATCTATTTTTAACTTTCTTTATGTCCGTCTGTCCGTGCACACTCTATTCCCTTGTATAGTGTCTATCAATCAAGTGATTGCTGGATCTACCTATTCTGTTTTGTTCACTCAGTGTCGACGTAACTAATTTCTGAAACGTCTATCTGTTTGTGGCTTTGCAGGTCCACCAAAGCGTGTAATTTCCTGTGGGAAACAATCACGGTATGAACGATTCAAAAACATATTAGTAGAAGCAATTATGGGAAGGAAGGGAAGGGAGGACTCTTCCAGAGTGGTGTCTTCTTCTTTTATTTATTTATTATCGGTCTTGTGTGTGTCCGTGCATCGCCATTTAATATATTTCTGTAGAAGTCGTAGAAACTCATGAATGAGAAAGGGACATTTGGGCCGAGTCACTTTTGCCTATTGCATCCTATGGTCTCAGTTGACTGCAGTCTGGAGAGGTGAGTGAGGGCATTTGATGGGTTCATCCTTTGTCTTCTCCTCATACGTATGTATTGAGCTCCTGATTGGCTCTTTTTCCGAAAATATGTATGTGTTCACCTCCTGAGCAGCACTTTTTCCAAAAGTAGGCATCTTTTTGCAACTCATGGGAATTCCTGACACGACTTTTCACTTGTGCATGCTTACCTGATACTGAAACCGACAGAGGACAAAAGGGAAGTGGAAAAAAGACAGCTGCAAACCTCCAGCCAGTGACACACTGGATGTGAAGTGGAGAGGGATGCAACAAGTGTTTGTGTATGCATGCACATAGAGAGAGAGAGAGAGAGAGAGAGAGAGAGAGAGAGAGAGAGAGAGAGAGAGAAGGGAGGAAAGGGGGATGGAGAGGAGGGGACTGCAAGGGATGGAGAAGACTGTCTAATTTATGCACAGCCTAGCTTTCCCAGTCTTGACCGGCTTTGGTTGGAGTGAAATGGCAATTATTTGACTGGCCAAGATGGATGAGGTAGTGGTTATGATTCATTCAGCTCTTTTTATGTGGTATTTTATGCTGTAAGTCTCCTTTATTATTCACCATGTGGTGTATTGCCTGTGTTGTTCTGCGTGATAATGTTGAAAGCAGCGGGTGATCGCGACAATCTTAATGGCTGCCAAAAAAAAAAGTGCGATTGGTAACATTTCTGGTGGGCATGCTGTGGTAGTGGAATTAGTGAAATCTGGGGACTAAAATGATGGATAAAGCTCTATTAAGTTGCAAACCTATGTGCAATAGGAAGGTGGGGAGACTAGAATGATGGATAAAGCTCTATTAAGTTGCTAACCTATGTGCAATAGGAAGGTGGGGGGACTAGAATGATGGATAAAGCTCTATTAAGTTGCAAACCTATGTGCAATAGGAAGGTGGGGGTCAAAGAGACAGATAGATAGTGTGATCGATGGACAGGCAGGCAGATTCACAAGGTGACATGCAGATGTGGAACCCATGATGTTAAGTTCAGCTTCTGTGTGATGAGCTTTGTGATTTTTTTTTTTTTTTAATTTTCAGAGCTTCGTGAATTTCAGTTTGCGTGTGATTGGCATTTTGGTTGTGGGGAATGCTTTGTTGGTCTGATGTTAGTGATCTCTGTCGGAACGCTGATGATGACTGTTTTTTTTTCTGTACTCAAGCTGACGCCCCTCTTTTGGGACAGTCCTCTATATGGAGCAGGCGGCGTAAACCATCACTTTGGCTGAGCGTAAGTTGGTGACTTCTCAGTTTCTCCCCACCCAGGACATCTGAAATTTCTGAATTGCCTTTCTCGAGGTTAACACCAGCTGAGCTGGTCCAGTGGTCCAAACAAATCCACTGTCCCTGTGTAAACCGGTGCAGTCGCCGGGTGTCACCCGAATCCGAATAGAACGTGTGGTCCTTATCGCTGTATGCAGACTGGAAGCTGCCCCAAATACAGTTTCGAAAACCATTATGTTCTGCTTTGGGAAAGACAGCAGTGGCTTTGGTGGGTGGTGTACCTCGGTGTGACCTTCATGCCTCTGTGCTTTTGGATGGGTCTATTTAAGAAAAGTGTTAAGTCCTCACGGGTTGTTTGCATTGTTCGTCAATGTCGCATCTGTAGTGCCTACAACTATGAGGGTTCAGAGGATTGCTGTTGTAGACCACACGTTTACCATACTTAGGGCATACTCACACTAGGACATTTTCGGCTCAGCTCTGGACATGATTGCTCCCGGATGCATCCAGGTCTGGCCAGAAATAGGGTCGTATACATTGAGAAAAGTGTTAGTGTGAGTATGCCGTTATCAAGTTATCAGTCTTTTTTTTTTTTTCTTTTTTTTTTTTTTTGACGCTCACAGGACCCACCCCAAACTACCTCTTTGTTCTTCTTCCTTAGCATAACCCCTGCTTCCCCATCGACGGGGGCGCTTGTTGGTGCCTTCGACTGCTGTCCGGTATGCCCGTATCAGTCCTATCACCTGTATCCAATGTCTTTTTTCTTACTTCTTGTGCTTCGCTGTTCGGCGCGAGCCTTTGCCATGCTTTAGACAAAAATAGACTACACTGTCAGGTAGCACAGGTGTGTAGCACTGTTTACCTGTCATTTTGCCGGTGATGAATGTAGGACTTCGTCTTCTGTTCGCAGCGAAGCTGTGCCTTGTTCCTAGCACAGAGTACGAGTATGGCCATCATTGCGGAACAAGCATGGAGAGGCTGATTGTGCTGCAACTGCGAGAACTGGATGCCGTGTTTCCATAGTCAACACCCGAACCGGTCCTGTCCAGTCTGCAGAGGTGGCCATTTATCATAGGCCACACCCGCTGCTCAACTTCTTTCTTGTTTTCTTCCGCTTGCTCCGGACCACAGATCAGTTATCAAACTGATCAGAACAGATACTACACTTGATCCTAGGATTCTTAACCAAAAATGTCAGCAATCCCGAAAACGGACTGGCCTCTAGTCTGGTCTGTTGGTGAGTACGGAGAACCCTGTGAAGTTCGATTTTTTCCTCCCTGTTCTCAACACACATTTCGTCAAAATTGGATATTTTCCAAAAAGTGAACCATGCAAGGAAAATGAGCAATAGCGAGATGACAATATTCAGATTGCACAATCACATTAAAATTTAAAAGCCAGATCATATCACAGTGTTCAGAAAGCAGCATTGCACCAATACAACACCAATGGAGAATCGTAGCACTGAAAACTAATGTCAATGAGAGCTTGCTCTCGCCACCACCAACACATGTATCCAGTCCCTTTCTCCCTACTTGGCGCTCGGCGCCCAGCCTACTCCCTACACAGCTACTACTAGCCTACTAATTGACTATGCAACTGTTGACGTCAGCAGCCTCCGAAGTACTTGAAGATGTCGCCCATGCAGATCATTGCCAATACCATGTATGTGCCCTCACATCATCATCATCATCCTTCTCTCTCTCTCTCTCTCCCCCTCGTCTTACTCCCACGTCTTCCCTTTGTACACCCGAAGACCACCCCTGCACCTCACTGTACATCCAAGCCGTCAGTCAGCTATGGAGGCTGGGCTATGACGCTGCCCTCAGCAGCGCCCTGCTTCTTGCACGACCACACGCGCTTGCACCTCGCCTCTCAGCGCTGGCAGCAGCCCACGAGCGTCCGCTCCAGCAGCACTGCCGCTAGCATGCGAGTGCCCGAATGACTTGCCAGGCAGCGAGCTCTTTCCTATATGGAAAGAGCCTGCCTCATTCGGCAGCCTGGCTGGGCTGGCCTGGGCCCATAAGCTTCCGGTAGGCCCCAGGATGCTGCGCCTCTCTTGCAGCTACTGGGCCGCGTTTGGTTGGGCCTCCCAACTGTCTGTGTATGAGGCTGCGATTCTCGTCCAGGGCCTGCATCATTTTGGAAAGGCCTGGAAGGCCTGGGATCTTTTTCGTCACTGCTCGGTCTGTGTTTCCTTCAACCAACTGGCGTGACGAAACTGCCTGGACCCCAAATATGAAATTGCCAGTCGGGGGCCTCTCGTGATTTGTTAGGCCCGCCTTCACTTAGGGTGGGCACGGATGCAACAGGGGCCCCTCAGGCCTGCCGAGGATCCGAATCCTCACAACTATTTCAAATGTGAAGTAATAGAGTGTATATCTGAGTGGGGATCCGGGCCGCCCGGGTGACCGGCAGGGGCCCGGGGGAGGTCCCGGGTGGCCTGGCCGGGCAGGGCACCCGGTTGGGGGCCGGGCCCCCCCAGCGCACTCACCTGTCGGGGGATTTCGGACCCCCTTTCGGACCCCCTTTGTGTGTGTGTGTGTGTGAGAGAGAGAGAGAGAGAGAGAGAGAGAGAGAGAGAGAGATGTGTTCGAATCATACTTGCGGCGCATCTCATGCGCGGGGGTGCCGCACATGCAGGCACCCACACACAAGTGATGTGGCACATTAAAAAAGTAGAAAACTAAAAAATGTCTTAGTTGTGTCCAGCCTCTTTTCAGAAGGATCCCTACAGCATATTAGCTAGGACCCGACGTCATGCAGAGATACGGTTCAAACTTGTACTCCGTGAGGGTGGGCAGAGAATATATAGTCTGGATTCGAATTCAGGTCTATGCATGTCGGTTATGGGTCACTATTTCTCGCTTTTCTTTTCTTTTCTCGTTTTTCTTTTCTTAAGAACATGTGCAGTGGCCCTGAGGGCCTCTACTCACCAAATGCACAAAAGACAAAACATATGGTGGCGTATTATTCCATGTTCTGCAGAAGATTCATTCTAATTTTGCACATTTCGTGAGTAGTGCACCCTAGGTAAAACTGTTGGGAGCCTGATTGCTCGGGCGGCGGAGCGCTACCGGGAGCGCTCTGCCGCCCGACGTTTGGATGACACGTGAGGGCTGGAAACGAAGAGTGGACAGGGCGCTATGACGACAAGTTTGACGTGAGGAGGAGGTGGGAGTGGGATCATCTGTGTTGTGCGCTGCGTTTGTCGTGCTGCTTCCTCATCGCTTGGTTGGGTGCGACCGCCATATCCTGTTATTCTTTGCCGTCCGCTGTGCGTCCGGTAAGCAGCCTTGGGAAAGGAGAAGTCCCATATCAACATGGTGGTCATTGGCCATGTCGACTCCCATAAGTCGACGGCCATGGGCCATCTCATCTACAAGTTGGGTAGCATTGACAAGTGTGTGATCGAGAGGTTCGAGAAGGAAGCGGCTGAGATGAACAAGCGGTCGTTCAGGTACGCTTAGGTGTTGGACAAGCTGAAGGCAGAGCGCGAGTGCGGGATCACCATCGACATCGCGTTGTGGATGTTCGAGACGACGATTCGGAAGTACTACGTGACTGTCATCGATGCGCCCGACCATCACGACTTCATCAAGAACATGATCACGGGCACTTCACAGGCGGACTGGGCTGTGCTGGTGATTGGCTCGTCGACGGGAGGGTTCGAGGCGGGTATCTCGAAGGATGGGCAGACCCGTGAGCACGCCCTGATGGCGTTCACGCTGGCCGTGAAGCAGATGATCTGCGCTTGCAACAAGATGGATGCCACGATGCCCACTCATCAGGAGCAAGCGGATCTCAGCGTATGACCGCTTCATCGGTCGGCGACGTGTGGTGTTGGTTGGGGTATGGAGGAGCGTGTCTGGGTGTTGCTATAGGCTCTCATGTTTGCTGCTGCTCTTATGTACTCGCTTGTGTGAGTGGAAGAACACGGGGGCAACGTATCTCACATCAAGGTCTCGGCGAAGAGGAGGAATATTGCGCGATCATGGGGTATGGAGGAGCAGGTTAGTGGTGTTTGGACGTTGTTGTAGACGCTTTTGTTTGCTGCTTCTGTTAAATACAAGGAAGAAGGGGGGAGGAGGAATGCGGGAGAAGGGTCTTCTAAAGGTGGAAGACGTTTGCGACGAGGACACCCCCTCATCTCTTTGGGCTACCTGCAAGGGGCGGCTGGCGGGTTTGGCGGTTTAGTCTCGCCACGTGGTTTGGAGTGGTGTGATGGCAATCCTAGCTGGGGTGCTGTTATTTTCATCGTTCGGTCTATTGGGTTGGTTGAATCAACTTGAATGATTGTCAATCACAGGCGGCCGAGTTGCTTGAGAGCCGATGAAGGAGGAGGTGAGGTTTGGAGAGAGGGGGGGTGCGTTTAGGGATGTCAAGGGTAAGTTGTGTTTTCTTCTTCAAGTTTCGAAATCGTGATTTCGTGATGACCTTGATGAGATTCTTAACGATGAGATTCTTAGATAGTTTTGCCTGTTTCATTACTTATTAGGTCTTCTATCCTAGAACTCTTGATATGTTACGGACATATAACTAATAATCCTGATTCCAAGGTCTGAAAATCAAGATCAATGTCTTCACTCTTGTTCGGCGCTAATATCTTTACTACTATCAAGGAGCTTTGCATCAGGGGAGCTGCTCGTC